ATCAAGCAGCTGTTCTAAATTCACTCAGGACTTCTAAATTATCTTTAGATTATTTGGGATTTCTATAATTCATATCATCCAAGAATAATCTCTTTTTTTTCCATCTTCAATCCTTATTCTTGCCTTTCGTTTCTTTGTATTGCCTTGAGGTACTGTCTATGACATCTAGAACAATGTTGAATAGAAGTGGTTATAGTGGGCATCGTTTTCTCCCACTCTGGGTAAATACCCAACAGAAATGTATGCATATGTGCATCAAAAGACATGCACAAGCTGGGTAGAGTGGTGCACGCCTGTAATTCCAGCTACTTGGGAGGCTGAGGTGAGAGGATTGCTTGAGTTCAGCAGTTCAAGACCAGCCTGGGCAACACAGCGAGACTACCATCTCAAAAAAAAAAGACATGCACAAGAATTTTATAGCAACATTATTCACAACAATGAAACAATCCAATTGTCCATCAGTAATATAAATAAAGTGTGCTACACCCATACAACAATGGAACACTACACAGCAGTGAAAATGAACAGACTCCTGCTACACATGATAATATGGGTAAATCTCATAAATACTATGTTGAGTGAAAAAGTACAGTCTGAATGATCTAGTTATATATAAAGTTTAAAAACAGGCAAAAGTCACAGTGTCAGAAGTCAGGAGAGTAGATACCCTTTGGAGATAGTAAATAAGAGGGGACATGAGGAAGGCTTCTAGGGAGTGGAAATTTCCATTTGTTGATCTGAAGGAGGTTACTGAATGAATGTGTTTACTTTTAAAGAATCATGGAGATGCACACCTTTGATTTGTGTAAGTTTACTTTTAAAAATGCATGTTCAGTGTGAAAAGAAAATAAAATCTCAGGGCCTTCCAAATTTATTATGCCAAGGGGAAAAGTTAAACCCTGGAAACTGGGTAACATAATATGGCTGTTTTTTCTTCTCTGGTGCAAGACCGTTGCTTCCTGATTTTTGTGTTGAGATGTTATACGTTAATCAGACTCTCTAGTCTTTGTTCAAACCTAGACCACTGTTAGCTATTTACATTAGAATGTTAAGCAACCCCCTTAGTGTAATCAATACTAGCCAATAAAACCTTACATTTGTATGTTAGCCTTTGTATGAAAAATATTGTAATTCTGTTCAGCACCTCCACTCTCTTTTTTTTTTTTTTGCCTATAAAGATGAACTTCACTTTCTCCCCCTCCCCGCACTGGGAGCCCTAATCACCATTCTTTGGAGTCCTTGTGTCCCCAGAAGGCTGCCCTCCACCTGCGATTGAATAAACTCTTTTAACTGGATCCTGAGCCTTTTGATCATTTTAGGTTGACACCCAGTAATTCCACTTCGAGAAATTACTCCTAAAAAATAATCTGAAAATGAGCTAAGGTGTGTTCATTCGTTCATTCATTAATTCAAGGAATGTGTACAAGAATGGATTTATATTATAGAAATGAAAATGTAAATCAGCCTAAACATTCAACATTATGAGATTGGTTAAATATGACACATCCATTCAATGTAATATCATGCATGATTTAAAAATAATGATAATATTTATATTTACTGAATTGTTTAAGCTATATTGTTAAATGAAAAAATCACAAAAGCATATTTATAATAGCACCCTATTTTTTAAAATCTGTACACATACATGCTTTAAAATGTCTGAAAAGATACATACTAAAATATTAACAGGATTTATCTTTGGCAGAGGCAATTGTTTTTGTATGTCTATAATTTCTGATTTTCTATAAGAAGTATGCATTACCTGTACAATTTTTAAGAGAACAAAGATGTTCATAATATATTAGTAAATGAAAACACAGATTACAAAACATTATGTGTAGTATGATATGATGTTTGTAAAATAAAAAGATATATTAAACATCATTATATGTATATTAGATATGCCAAAGAAAGCTAAAAGGACAAATAATAATAGTAATTATTCATGGGAGAGGGATTATGAGTAATTTTCTTTTTTCTTTTCTTTTGTTTTCTAGTTTTTCTACAATGAACATGTAATACTTTACATGTCTTTAAAACTAACAATAAAAGTTTAAAAAAAAACATTGGGCTCCTTAACAAGAAAAAAAGGGGGCCTCCATTGCCATGACCCTCCTCCGCCCTGCATCCCACCCTCACCACCCTCTCCCCACTCCCAGGGTCTTACATTTTAAGAAGAGCGATCGCTCAGGTGAGGGGCTGATTTTCAACAGGGTACCTGGCTTGGTGCCGGAGGAGCCCGAGAGCTGGCAGTTCATGTCTGTAATGAATTGTGAGAAATGAGCGCCTGGTGCTCACGCAAGCAGCACAAATAAGACATACTAAAAATACTTCAAAACTGGAGAGTCGCATAATTGCTCCCCAAGAATCACTTGCAAATTTAAGTAGGAAATGCAAATTCACAGCAACAGGAAAACTCCAAGACAAGAAGTGAAGTCAGCTAGGGCAGCACTCAGGGATGGGAGCAACTTCAAAGCAGACATGCAAATTCCGGGACAAAGACGGAAAACAAGAAATCAGAGCTGAGTCCTCAGAAAGAAAGAAGGCTGGGAGAGGCTATCCCAACAATAGGGTACAGAAGGAGCACATGGGGGCCCTTGGTACTTGCCGTCCCCTCTGCCTGGAACCATGTTCCTGGCAGGGGACCCTTGCCTGGAACCCCTTGCCAGCTGTCTGGGCTGGAGTTCCCTTACCGCCTTCCAGACCTGCCTTCCCTGACCAGCTCTTCTGGAGCGGCCCCTTCCCCGCCCCCATCACTCCCAGCACCGTCACACGTGGGAAACCCACGTCTAGGTGAACGCCTCTCCTCTCTCCCCAGAACTCTAGAATCCTACATGCTATTGCCTATGTGATACCACCACATAGGAGGTCAAACTTCTCAAATCTAACAGGTCCAAACACCTCGTTCCCTGTAATCCTAAATGCTCTTTCCCATTTTGGAAAAGGACAACTTCCTTCTGCTCGCTCCCGGCCGGAATCCTTGCAACCTCCTTGATCCTTCTCTCCTCCTCCCTGCCTCACTACTCCATATCCCTTTGCTGGTCCTTCAACATGCCAAGCTTGCTCCTACCTCACCGCAGGGCCTTTGCACTCCTTTCCCCTCGGTCTAGAACGCTTCCCCCAGATGTAACAACAGGAACAATGACTACAGCTAACGCTTACATAGTGCTTATTACGCCCGAGCACTTTATGGGCAAGAATTCATTTAATCCTCACAACCAACCACGAGAAAAGACTATATTATTGACTCCATTTTGCAGGTATGGAAACAAGCTAGAAAGTGAGGTGCCTGGCATGTAATAGGGGCTCAATACATGTTCTGAATGAATGAAAAGATATTTCTGAACACCTGCTTTGTGCCAGGCCCGGCAGGGACCTCAGAACATCAGCGCTAGACCCAAGGTGGTTCTGCCCTTCAGGCATTTGCGAGGGACATCTCATGAACAACCCCAGACAGGGCATGACAGGCCCTGGGCAGAGGGCAGAGGGGAGATGGCCAGGAGAGGGTGTGAGCACGGAAAGGCTTCCCAGCTAAAGGCGGAAGAGGAGGAGGAAGAGGAGGAGGAAGAGTTGGCCATTCCAGCTGGGAGCCCAGAGCAGGCGAAGTTCAGTGTGGCAGGATCCCGGGAGCAGTGTGAGGGGCAGAAGCAGGGCAGTGTGGCTGGAGACAGGCGGGACACGGCCTCAGGAGGGGTAGGAGGTAAAGTCGTGAGGGTGGGTTGGTTACCAGGTCCTCCTGGCCAAGGGCCTCTGAGTGGGAGAGACGTGACTTAGGGTGACGGTTTTCACAGCTGTCTCAGGGCTAAAGGGCGCTAGGAGAGTTAAGGGCACAAAGTTCGTCGAATGGCGACTTACTTTCCTTAATGCGAACGTCCACTGGCGTCTGCAACGTACTCTGCATGGCTTCCACGAGGCCCTTAAAGAAGCTCTTGACGGGCTCGAAGGAGAGGGGCACGGGGTGGCACAGCTCCCCGAGGCACATATGCCGCTGCATCTCCTGCTCGGTGGCCGTGTACGCCTGTGCGGGCACGCGGGGGTCAGGGCGGCACTGGGGGCTGCAGCCGTGTCCCAGCCCCCACTGCGCACCCAGGACAGTCCCAGGCAGCACACCCAGGCCCCACCCTGCCCTGGCACCTGCAGTCAGCCCAGGCCGGGCCCCTGGAGACACCGAGGTGGGAGACACGTGGAGGCTGGGTGCCAGTGCTGGCCCTGGGGATCCCCCCCTCCTTCCATGTTCATGGGCCCCCCACCGTGCCAGCTGTGAAGGGGCTGATGGGCTGACACAGGGGCCCTTCCCTGTGACAGGGGCCTGCCTCAGGGGCAAAAAGGGTGAGGGGCCAGTCTTCCTGGGGAAGGAGCACCTGGGGCTTGTCCTAAGGAGGGAGCAGGAAGACACACCCCAAGAGGGAAGCCAAGGACTCTGGAAAGCTCGGCTGCAGGGCTGACTGAGGGGTGTGGCCGCCACAGTGAGCGTGCATCCTGTTTTCTGCCTGGAAAGCACCTCTTAAATACCTTCCTGTGCAGTGCGGCTTTGCTAAGTACAAGCTAGAAAACCACTCTCCCCGCCCCTCTGTGTCTGTGCTGCAGGCATGTGAGAAGAAGCCCCCAACCCAAAGCCTGGATTTGGAAGTGAAGGCGAAGGCAGTGACAGCAGCATGTGGCTCCTGGGGACAGCAGTGGTGGAGGCTCTGGGTCAGGAGTGTGAGCTGTGATGTCCTGCCCAGCAGGGGTGCGGTGGGGCCTGCACGGCACAAACCCCGCTGTGGCCTGGACTTCATTCCTGTTACCTTGTCTTCCACCTGGATTCTCTGGGCCCCTGGAGAGCCTGTGAGCCACCTAGTTCTTTCATAAACACCTTTCTTGCTGAAAACAGTTACTGTGGGTTCTCGTATTTGCACTTTCTGAAGGGTTGTCCTGGGCAAGGAGTTGGGAGGCAGCAGACTGCCCCAGGTGAGCAGGTCTTGGCTGGTAGCAGTGTTGCCCGAGAAGTGATGGGCGGATGGGAGCCCTAGGAGGGAGAGAGGGTGGCCTGGCACCCGGGTGTTGGGCAGAGGCAGGCTCCACCTGGCAGGATGCTGTACCTTGGGAGGGGGCAGTGGGATGGCCTCCGAGCCCCAGCCAGCCTAGAAGGCAGAGGGTCTAGAGTCCACCCTCATTTTTGTGGGAACCCAGGTTAAGGTCACAGGCAGAGAGCTGGAGGTAAGCTGGTCAGAGAGTTAGAGCACTATCAGGAAGTCCAGGGAGAGCAGGATGCAGCTCCAGGAAGGTGGGAGGGTGGCTCAGAGAACAAAGGGGTGGGGTAGGACTGGGGGCCATGAGAGGACAAATGCCACCACCTGGTAACCCCAAACTCCAGCAGCTAGCACAGGACCTGACACATAGTAGGTTCTCGACAAATATTTATGATAGAATAAATGAATGAATGAAACTAAGCACAGCTGCTTCTTGCCTTTGCAGACTCAGAGAACAGCCATCCATCTCTCAAGCCAGAAATCAGGGATCATCGTGGTTTCTCCCTACTCATTCCCCACTTCCACTCACCATTCCTGTCGCATCTCTTGAACCTGCCTGTCTCTCCCTATCCCCACTGCCCCTGCCCTGGTCCAGGCCACCCTCATCTCTCCTCCCGAATTCTCTTCTAGCCTCCAGTCCTGGCCTCCTCAGTCCATCCTCCACTCTGTCACCAAAGTGATCTTTCTAAAGCACTAACATGAGCACATTAATGGTCTCTTTCCTTGGTTAAAAACATACCCCTGGCTCCTATCTCTCTATAGGACAAAGTCCAAGCTCCGTGGCCTGGCACATAAGGCCCTTCCTGAACTAACCCTGACCTCCCGATCCAGCCACGTATGCCAATACCCCCTCCCTTACACCCCTACTCCTCCCCAAGCCAGGATGCACCCCAGGTAGTTCTCAGCCTGCCAGACTCTCAGGTGGACATAGTTCCTTTCTGCCTGGGATGTCCTCTCTGCATATACTCAGTGAGCACCCACTCATTTTCCAGCACCCAGCTCCATCATCACTTCTTCCTAGAAGTCCTCCCAGACTTCCCTCCCCCACAGACAGAGAGTTAGGCATTTCTTGGACATACTTTCACTAGCTTGCTTAAGCTATATTGTATATAACTGTTTCTGAGTCTGTCTCCCCATCCAACTATGAGCTCTTAATGTCCAGCAGGGGGCCTGGCTCAGTATGAATTGATGAATAGATGAATGAATAAATAGAAGAAAGGAATGATGAATGATTAAAATCAGTAGGTTTGGCACAAGAAAATTAAAAAAAGAAATGACAAAACCCTGAAAATGTGTTTTATGATATGAGAATAGCATTCTCCATGGAAGCATTCCTTTGTATTAGATATCCTTAAAAATTACCATCATTTAAAAAGAAACAAACAAATGTACTGCTTTGTGCATCTTGCCCTTCTTAAAGTACAATGCCCATTGTGCCGAGAATTTGGCTGAAATAGCTGACAGTGAGACACAGGTTGAACTGAGGACACAAGAAGGCACAAGAGTGGAAATATCCACCAGGGGACTGGCTTGGCTGGTTTTGTACTGACTGATTTATTTGTCTGTCATATTTTCCAGCCAAAGCCCATGCTAATCTGGGGTTAGATTCAGTGCCACCTTTTGTTATATCCTTCCTTGTCCCACAGCCTTTAAAGTTACAAAGGTCATCTAATGCTGCAAGATTTGCTACACAGAGAGAATAATGAAGCAAAGAGAAAACCAGACACAAAATATATGCCATGAAGTCTTAGCCTAGCTAGTTGAAACAGATTTGGATTTGAGATTCCCCAGAAGCCAAGGCAAAGAAGGAAACTGGAAGAGTCATATTAGTGGAAAAGCTTGCGCTTTTGTCAGCCTTAAAAAAAAAAACAAAAACAAGAAAGAAAAGCAATCCCAGTGTGCAGGTGAATGTACAGGGGTATTGACACCAGACGGGAGTTTCTCCCATGGTTCCTTGAAGACAGGAATATCATCCTCAACAACATGCTTTCATTAAATGCAGCAATGACCTTGACAGGGGCTATTTCTTAGCCTCTTCCTCAACAAAGCCCAGTGGCCAAGGAGTGTCATCCTTCTCTCCTCCTTGGGCAAACTGACTCAGCTTTTGAAATTTGCTCAGTAGCTAAAAGGACACATGCCTTATCAGGATGGGTGTCTCAATTTAAGACTATACAGGCAGAGGGCCAGGCAATGTGTGTTGTGGGTTTATAGTCAGAGAGACGTGGCTTCGGATGGCAGCTCTGCCACCTACCACCTATGTGAGCCTGGGTGAGTCATTTCACTCCCCTGAGCTGCAATTTGTCATTCATAAAATGGGGCGAGGATATCCACTTCGCAGAGTTCTAGTGAATATTAGAGCTAAGATAAGACACATAAAGTGCTCAGAACACAGAGGCCCCATGGCTGTTAATACTATTTAATTTGTGCCTGTTAATATTATCTAATTAGTCCAAGATGTATATTATCTTCCTAACAATGTATATTTTCTGGCCAATTGTGTGGGGGTGAGAAAGTCTACAAGCTGGCAAGGCAATTCTCTGTGTATTTGCTTAGTGTGTTCATACTGTGCTCAAAACCACAATAACTGAGCGGAAATGGCAGGTGGCAGCTTATAAGCAGAAATCCCAACATTACCTGCAGCCGCTGTACAGGACAGGGCTCCTGACTGATGCTCCAGACCCTGTTGGAGAGGTCGTTTATGATATCAATTTGCTCCCTGCAAGACTCAGCTTGCTCCCTGTACATCTGGAGGACAAGCTGCATGCTTTTATCAATGAATTTCTTGGCCAGCACTTCGTCTTCATCAAGTAGTAATCTAAGTTCAGAGAATTTCCCCGTCAGCCAGGTTTTACTTGACTCTGCATGAGCCTGGGGGAAAAAAAACATAACAAAACAGTTGCAGATGATATGTTTGCCAACCAGGAAATCCAGAATAATCAACATGAAAAAAATTATAACCTCGAAAAAGCAAGTTCAGCAAGGTGGCCAATCAGATACAAGATCAACTTATGAAAACCAAAGCTTTCCTAAGTACCAGCCATTGTCAGTTGAAAAATGCACGGAGAAACAGAAATCCTTTTTAAAATAGAAGGGAAAATAGCAAAATATCTGCAAATAAACCCAATAAAACCATACCCCTGAATGGGAAGATTCATTGCTATAAAGATGCTATTTGTCTCTAAGTTAGTCTATAAATTTGATGAAGTCAAAATCACATCTTAACATGCAGATTAAAAATTATTACATTATTATGGGGGAGAATAAGCACAAGAAAAGCCAAAATTGCTTTAAAATCATCAATAAAGAAAAAACTGCTTTAGTAGATAACAAAACAAACTGTAAATCTACAAGATCTAAAGCCACGTGGCTCAAGCACGGACAAAATGATCAAGTGCACAAAATAAAGAGCTCTAACAAGGACCCAAATTATATATAGAGGGGTGTGTGTGTGTGTGGGTGTGTGTGTGTGTGTGGTGTGTCTGGTGTGATATAATAGTGGCATTTCAAATTACTGGGAGGAAAAAATGAACTATTCAGTAATTGACACTGGTACAACATGTAATTAACCATGTATCTGGGGGGAAAAAGCCAAGCTAAGTATCTACCTTATATCACGTACAAAAATAAATTCAGATTGGAACCCCACTATGAACTAGGCTTGCCAAAAAGTGCAAATTTGAATCTGATCCTGCCTCTAGATTGTCCAGATTGTGTCTAACTAGAAGACACAATTTAGAGGACATATAGAAGACAGAGGAACACAACTATCAATTTAAGAAATACATCAACCAATTGCATTTTGACTTTATTTCACTCCAAAGTCAAACAAAATGTGACATTTATATTGGAAATACAGCCACTGATTGGATATTTAATGATATTAAGGAACTACTTATCATTAATTTTCTTAGATGTGTAATTATACTATGGTTATGTGTTTTTTAATTTTTAAAAATTGTTTTGTAGAGATGGGGTGTCACTACATTGCCCAGGCTGGTCTCAAACTCCTGGCCCTAAGTGATCCTCCCATCTTGGCTTCCTAAAGTGCCAGGATTACAGGCATGAGCCACCACACCCAGTCGGTTGTGTGTTTTAAAAAATGAATACTTATCTTTTATATAGAATATGCTGAAACTTTTACAGATGAAATGGTATCTGTGGGATTTGCTTCAAAATAACAAGTGTGTATACTTGAGGTTTTCCACAATAAAAGGTGAACAAAACAAACAAAAAAGAAAATCCAGACAGATTAAGCACTGTACATAAAAACCTCAAATAATAAATTTATTAGAATGAAATACAAAACAGCTATTAAAATCAATTTGGGAGAGGAAGTCCTCCATAAGTGAGACCTCCATAAATGGAACCCAAAACTCAAATAGTAAAAAGGGAGACAGTAGCAGTTTCTACAACATAAAAAATAAAAATTTATTTAACAGGAAGACACTGTAAACAAAGCTACATGACAGGTCACAAACTACATAGACACACTCTCCATAATATATAGTATTAATAAAATAATTTAATTAAAAAGTGAGTCAAGGATATGCAAATGCAAACAAACATATGAAGAGCTACTCAGCCTTCCCAGCAATCAAAGAAGTGAGCACTGTAATCAGAAAATAGTTTTTGACTATTAGATTGGAAGAATTTTTTTTTAAGAGACAGGGTCTCACTCTGTTGCCCAAGTGATACCATGTTAACTTCTTAGTGGGACTGCAGTGGTTTGGCAGGAGATGGGAGATGAGTTTCCTAAATCTGCGTTTCCTATACAATGCTCTAGGCAATGGATGCGTTCCGAAGCTAGCTCATACCACAGGCCTCATGGATTAAATTGGCTTTGGGCTAGCCTGGGAATCAGTCCACATTTATAACATGGTTGCAATGGGTCAATGAGCCTAGACCCGAATATATCTTATTGAATGACCAAAGGAAGAAAAGAAAATGTATTCCAAACCCTCGATTTACGAACACATGTTGGAGGCAACGTAAGTAAATAAAGGACCTTTACAGAGAAACCAAGAGGGACAATATCTCCTCCCAATCAAGCTATGCTCCAAGCAGTTTCTACAGGTACGCTTTGTAAAGAATATGCAAAGGAAGCTTAATGACACTACACCTTGTTCTAACTCTCAGTGCAGGGATAACTATCTGAAAACAGCCACCAGAAAACTTGAGATGTAAGCAGATGAGAATGGTTATGCAATGCAATGGGGGGAGGGAGAGAGAACGATGGTAATGAAACAAGGAAGTACGCCGTCTAGTTTGGGTGGCGTTGGTTCAAAGTGAAACTGGATCCCAACTGAACCGAGCTGGGGTTTGAACACAGCTGGCTGAGGGCCTGACAGAGTCTAGTTGAAGAAGGTCTAGGGAGAGGAAGAACTGACCAGCCATGAATCCCTGGTCAGCGAGGCTGAGGGATTTGCACATGGGGTGCTGGCCGCGACGTGAATCCATCTCTGGGTTCCGGGGCAAGTGAGGAGCTGAATGGAAGGAGCTGTTTTGCTGAAAACTCAGCATGACTTCAGACAACCCTGCTATGCGTGCCCCTCACGAGGCCCCACCAGGGAGGGGAGGCCTGCTCTACAACCCCTGGCCAGGTGTGACTTTAGTATTGGAACCTCTCAGACTCTGTGGTGGCAGCGGCCAGCAGGAGGAGGTGGGGTGTGGAGACCAGGGCATTATCAAGGTCAGCAGTGTGGCCAGGCTGGGTCCTCATCTTCCTCTTCCCCTTCCCCTTCCTGACAAAGGCCAGCTCATGTCACCCCACTGGTCCCCTGACCCATTCTGTGGCTTAGTCCCTATAGCTCTTGTAGGTCACAGGGAAAGTTAAAGAGCCAGGAACTGAGGTTATTTATCCTCCTCCCCATCAGGATTTCTGGGTCTGGTGCCAGTCTGGGTCTGTGACATAAGTCCATTTCCGGCCTGCCCCCAGCTCTGCGCTGTAGGGCAGAGAGGCTGAGCCATGCAGGCTGCATTTCCACGATTCTCCTTCATGCTGGGTGCGTTCAATGGGAAGAAGAACTAAAGGGAGATCGGGGGTGAGGACAAAGGAGCAGCCAGGGCGCCCCTCCCACCAGGGCACTGTCTCCATGAGTGGCTGTCTCCCTGAAGCCCCTCCACCCTCTGACTTCCACAAAACAGGCCCACTCTGGTTTCAGCTTCTGCCTAGGTGGCCGTGGCCCCTGCACTCTGCTAACACCAGCCCAGGCGTGGAGGTGGCTTCCTGCAGGTGCTGACTGCCTCACCATCTTCTGGTTGGCTCTTCTATGCTTGTGTCACCATTCCGTGCATTAATCTCTTCTGTCTGAAACCATCAAAGTGGCTTCTATCTTCCTGGGTGGACTTGACGGATACCACTGTGGCTCCATGTCTTACCTTGCTATGTGACCAATGACAAGTTATTTCAGCTCTGACAGCCTATACACATTCCAAATCCCTAACTATGTCTGGATTCAACAGACAGTAACCACTCTTAAATATCTCTATGTATCTATATGTATATACATACACATATTTTTTTTCATTTATAGAAGTATCAAGAGCTCATGGTAGAAAATTTGGAAGCTTCAGAAAGAACATAGCCACTCTGTTATATGGTCATCTAATCCCAGTTTGAGTAAGAAGTTAGGGGAGCAGGCTGAGTGTTGAATTTTCCCTACACCTGGATGTATTGGCCCCGGTCTTAGCCTGTTTTCTGTTGCATATAACAGAATACCTGAAACTGGGTAATTTATAATGAAAGGAATTTGTTTCTTACAGTTATGGAGGCTGAGAAGTCTAAGGTGGAGAGGCCGCATCTGGTGAGGACCTTCTCACTGGTGGGGACTCTCTGCAGAGTCCTGAGGTGGCGCGGGGCATCACATGGCAAGGGGCTGAGCACACTAACTTATAAAGCCACAGTCCCATTCCTGTGACAACCCATTAATCCATTAATCTATGAATAGATTAATCCATTCGTGAGAACGGAGCCCTCATGACCCAGTCACCGCATAAGGGCTCCACCTCTCAATACTGCCACACTGGGGATTAAGTTTCAACATGAGTTTCGGAGGGGACGAACATTCAGACCGTAGCACCCCTCGAGATGCCACGATGGGGGAAGCAATCGGCCTATTAACAAGATTGTAAGAGAAAATCATTTAATGGGTGTCGGTTGGGGATTAATGACCAAGTCCTTCTTAACAGTTCTCTGGAAAGGAATGATTGGTTAAGCGTGGTCATTGGCTTCTGAACAGCAGACTTTGGACCATGTATGAATTCCATGTTTGTTAATTTGTTTACAAAGTTGTTTCAGGGATTAGTTTTCAGGCAAATGGCTTTTTCCCTAGCACTGCCTCTATGTAAGTCAGCACTGAGCAGAACGGTTAGAACGGTTGTCCCAGACTTCTCTGCCACAAGCTATGCCTGCCCCAGTTCAACAGAAGACATTAGGATCCTTACATACATTTGTGCCTGCTGCAGATTCGTCACCTCCAGGACTGTGCTCCAAAGGAAATAAATCAAGGTACTAAAAATGTTCACTGTACTATCCAGAAATGATCTAAATGTTTGACATTAGGTAAGTGGTTAATAAATCATGATAGAGTCATAAAACGGAATATACAGCCTCTAATACTGACATTAAAAAAGAACTTTTAATGACATAGGGAAATGCTAGGATCTTAAACAACAACAAAAACCCATATATAAAGTGACGCACAGTTTTGGTCAATAACGAAGAAGGAACTGACACAGAAAATCCCTCTTCCTACTTTATACACAGAGAAATGCTGATAAGATAAGTGAATTTAAAAATTATATGACCAAGTTCAAAATAAAACAAACAAACAAAAAAGGGAAATTCTCAGGTGCCAAAACCAAAGAGGGAACTCAGTGTTAGTGGCCTGGGCAGGTGACCCTGCAGGGGTGTAGCTGCAAGCAGGTACCAGTGAGAGCCACGCCACACTGCAGCTTGTTCATCTAGAGGAGCACAGGGCACCTGGCCCCAGTCCAGCTGGGGTGGGGAAGGAGCGTCAAGCCTGCCCCATCCATGAACTAGGCACCAGAAAAACTCCACCCATTGGGAATGGTCATCCATCCAGGGTAATGGCTGAAAAGAAAATCATCAGCAAAACACAAAACAACAGGTTTGCATTAAGCAGGCTTGGCGCCTGAATTCACGGAACCTCAAAACTGAAAATTTTATATAAAAATGGGTCTGGAACTACTGAAACTCAAAGCATCCCCTGAAGATGCTCATGCCACAGTGCTCTGAAGGGCCATTCTCACAACCTAGGGTGTATGGGACACCCATGGTAATGAAGACAAGAAGATAATACAAATGACAAACCACACTAGGAAATGAACCATCACACCTCACTTGCAGACTGGGGCTATGATATTAGAATTGCATTTACAATGTGTCTCAAACCTCAGAAAAGTATTTATATACAGGACCAAAATCTCTAAATGTGAATAGTGACTGGCCTTACGTGGCAGGGTGCAAGATTATGGCTGAATTTTTAAAACTATGCTTCTTGATCAGGAATTGAAATGCCAATGTCCACAGAAGCCAGGGAAGTGGCTAGGGTGGGGCCAGGAGATTCCATGCCATGACAGTGTCCATTGCTCAGCTCCATCAGCTCCCACATAGGTGTAGCACAGGGTGGTGACATCTTCCTACTTTTCTACATCTAAATTTTTTACAAATATTGTCCAGCTTTAAAATGCTGTCTACTAATTCCATTTTTCTTATTACCTTATGAAGGCCACTTAGGTGTGAGTCTAACAAAACACGTATGGATTTGTATGCTAAAAACTACAATATGGTGATGAAAGAAAACAAAGATCTAAATAAATGCAGAGACATACCATGTTCATGAATTGGAAGACTTAACACAATAAAAATGTCAATTCTCCCTAAATTGATACACAGGTTTAACATAATTCCTATCAAAATCTTAACAAATTCTGTTTCTTATAGATATAGAAAAAATTATTCTAAAATTCAAATGGAAAGGCAGAGGAACCAGATATGCTAAAATAATTTTAAAAAAGAAGAATATTTCAAGACCTATTATTAGCTATAGTAATCACGACTGTGTGGTATTGGCAGAAAGACAGACACACAGACCAATGGAACAGAATAGAGAACCCAGAAATAGCCCCACACAAGTATGATCAACTGATTTTTGATAAAAGCAATTGAATGGAGAAAGACTAGTCTATTCAACAAATACTGCTGGAGCAACTGGATATCCACAAGCAAGCAAGCAAGCAAACAAAAAACCTCCAAACAACTCTCAGCTAAATGTCATACCTTATAGAAAAATTAACTCAAAATTAATTCTGAACTTAAATGTAAAATGCAAAACTATCACATTTTTATAAAAAAAAAAAAAAAGGAGAAGATTTTTGGGACCTAGGGCTAGGCAAAGAGTCCTTGGACATGATAATGTCAAGAGAACAATCCATAAAAGGAAAAAAACTGATAAACTGGGCTTCACCAAAATTAAAAACTTTCTCTCTGTTAAGATGATGAAATACAAGCTACAGACTGGGAGGAAATGTTTTCCAACCACATATCTGACAAACGATCCATTTCTAGAACATACAGACAATTCTCAAAACTCAATAGTAAGAAACAAATTCAATTAGGAAATGAGTAAAAGATATGAAGAAATATTTCACCAAAGAGGATTTATGGATGGCAAATAAGCGTATGAAAAGGTGTTCAATATCACTAGCCATTGGGGAAATGCAAACTAAAATCACAATGAGATATCACTCCCACCTATCAGAAATGCTAAAATAAAAATTTGTGACAATACCAAATGTTGGCATGGATGCAGAGAAACTCTCTCTCATACATCACTGGTGGGAAAGTAAAATGGCACAGCTGCTCTGGAAAATGGGTTGGCAGTTTCTTAAAAAATGAAACATGAAAGTATCACAGGACCCAGCAATAGCACTCCTGGTCATCTATCCCAGAGAAATGAAAAATTATGTCCACAAAGAAACCTGTACACAGTTGTCCAAAGAAGCTTCACTTGTAATAGGCCCAAACTGGAAACAACCAAATGACCTATAATAGTTGAATGGTTTAAAGAAAAAAAAAAAATCCAGTAGTATTGTTACATCCATACTACTGGATTGCTGGAGTACTCCTCAGCAGTCTGCAGGAATGAACTGCTGATGCACACAACAAGCAACAACTTGGATATATCCCCAGGGCTCAGAGAAAAAACCCTCAGAAGGTCACGCATACTGTATGATTCCATTTTCACGACATCTTCCAATGCCATAATTACAGAGATAGAGAACAAATTAATGATTGCCAGGGGTTAGGGACTGTTGGAGGAAAACGGGGGGGGGGGATTATTCAAGGTGTAGCAGGAGGTAGATCTTGGCAGTGATGGAACAGTCTGCATTTTGCTTGTAGTGGTGGTTCTTTGAATCTACACAGGTGATAAGTTGATA